ACATGCCGGCCTATATTGTACTTTTTATTTTAAATAAAATAAAACAAGTATGCCTTGAAGAAAAAACAAAATATATAAATTTAATCAATTGCAATTGTTTATAACTTAATTATATTCGATTATATTTTAATAGAAATCTGACTTTATTTCTTATGTAGGAGGAACCAACATCTTAACATGTTAGATTGTGTATACGAAAAAAATTACGTCTGCTAGGGTTAGGTCTTTCTGATGTCCGTTTCTACCGCCGGTCACACTCGCTCAACGGAGGAGGAAGATAATCTCCAAAGAAGTGTAAAAAAAAGCAAGGGAGGCGATGGAAATTTCAGCAGCGAGCAAACTATGACCCCTCGAGAAGAAGAATGGATGAAAGACAACATGTCTTTCAAGGAAATGCTGATGCGGCATAATGGAGAGTGGGAAGATCAAATTGAAGCGATCAATGAAGATGAAGAGAAAGAGGAGAATCATCAAGAGGAACCAAGCTCAGAGAACCAATTGGACCTGACGGAAGTGGTTATTGAGGAAGACAAAGAAGGCAGAACAAATTTCAAGCTGTCAAATGCGTTTAAGAAGAAAGCGTGGAAGCCCTGGCATCAATCTTTCTTTGTAAAGCTGATGGAGAAAAGAGTCTCTTTGTAATTTATGAGGAAGAAATTGGAGACTCTATGGACAAAGCAAGGTAAGATTTTCGTCACTGATCTTGAGAATGAATATTTTTTAGTGTGGTTTTCAGACAAAAAAGACATGGACTTTGCTCTCACAGCAGGAGAATGGATCTTTTTTGATCATTACCTTGCAATTAGGTCTTGGGAACCAGATTTCCAACCTTTTCATGCAAGTATTAATCGCATAATGGCATGGGTGAGATTGCCTGAATTTCCCATAGAATATGTTAATACTGTCTTGATTAAAAGTATTGGAAATTGGTTGGGTAAATTCGTGAGAATTGATGCGGCAACTACTTCACTAGCCAGAGGTCGGTTTCCAAGGATGTGTGTTGAATTAGACCTCACTCAACCCCTTCAAGTGGAGTATAAACTGGAGGGTAGAATTAAAAGAATAGAATATGAAGGTCTACATTTAATTTGTTATTGGTGTGGTAAATATGGGCATAGGCTGGAGAATTGTCCGAATAGAATAATTATGGAGCAGGAGAAGGATAAGGCTGGATCGGATGGGGAATTGAATGATCAAGGACAAAATATCGAGAATGATAAGGAGGTAGCTGAGGAAAAATCTAAGTTCGACCCTTGGATGCAAGTTTTGAAAAATAGGAGAAATAGAGGTACTCAGGAGAATAGATTAGATTTAAATCATGGAAGAGGGGTTCAGACTTCTGTGAAGATGACAAATACTTTTCAGAGTTTGAAAGAGCAGGATCTTCAGGGGGATAATGAGGAGGATAATGGGGGTGATGGTAAAGAGAATGAACCTAGTCAGCGGTTGGTAAAGGGAAATAAGCAAAGGGAACCAGCTGCTGTTAAGAGGACGGATAAAACAGGCCAGCCGATTATTTCAAAAAATACCCAGCAAGACAGATCTATTGGGAAGAATATTTTGAGTGTAGCCAATCATAATGGAGTAAAGGCAGGGAAGGGAGTGAATTCTGATAATCACAATCATTTATCCAAGGAGCAGGCAGTTTCCGAGTTGAGTAGACAACTTGAGCCAAAACCACCTGATATGATGAATGTGGATAATAACCCGGTTACTGATGATACTAGAATGGACTATGTTTATGCTACTGGAAGCTGTAGTATGAGGGACAAAGCAAAACAGGGGCTTTCAGACCTTGTAAATCAATCTCAAAGTTTATAATGAACTTCCTCATTTGGAATGCAAGAGGGGCTGCTAAAAGAGAGTTTGGTAATGCCCTTAAATCTCTTATGAAAAAGAATAAGGTGGATGTTGTGGTTCTCCTTGAACCTAGAACTTATAATGACCCTAACTGGTAAATCTTAGTTAGAGATTTAATTTAAGGATTTAAATGCCATAATTAGATTCAGTGAGCGATTTCGAGTATTTTGACTGTAATCATGACTATGTTATGAACAGTGCGTTCTGCCGGAGAATTCGCAGTCTTGTGAATTAACCGGTAGAGCTTAAATGAGCAAAATAATTTTAGAGACATAATTTGATAATTCTGACGACAAATATGAGTTCAGAAAGAAAAATTGTATAGTCTGGCACTTTCCGTGAAAATCTCGTGAATAGTGTTTCTACCGTGTATTTTGTACTGCTCTTTAAGCAACCGGTAGAGTCCAGAAGCCAATAATTGATGAAATAAGAATAAGAAAGTCCAATATATGCCAAACAAGTCAATATGGGCCCAAGGAAATGATAAGTTAATAAGTTTTAAGTTCAAAAGTAAACGAAGTACAATTAGTGGTTCACTGTGCATGTCGTCAAAAACGGTGCAGAAACCATACTGTAAATTAAGAATATTGTTCCTTAGGAAATAAAAAATTAATGTAAATGACATTAGAAAAATAAAAATATGTTCGTAGCTTTGAGTTAGTTTCCGGTCAGTTTAAGTGAAAACACGTGTTAGAAAAACATCTGATTAAAAAATGCCACACATGCTTAAAAGGCCAAGTCACTTAAGTTTCATTATGACAATCATTTTCTCTCTCCTCTCATCCCTCCCAAACCCGCGGCTGCAAGGAGATGAAGGCCTAGGGTTTTGTTTTCTTTCTTCCTTCCATTCTCACTCATTTGATCATCAAAAAGCTTTATGCTACACATGAAACTCATAGGAAAAGGTCCAATGAATCCATTCCCACCATTAGTTTGAGCTATCATTGCTTGTGTGAGGAGATATTCTCTTCCCCCTTTGCGTGGCACTATTCATCAAGAAGGTAAAATGGAGCTTTTGATGGAGATTCTCTTAGTGAATGTCTTCTAGGTTTTGGATAGGTGATTAGAGGTAACAAAACTCTAATCCTATGATTTTATTCTTATGATTAAAGCCTTGAGAAATTATGAGCATGTTGGTGGGAAATAAATATAGTTTAAAAATTTGAATTGATAATGAAGCCTTGATGTTTTGGATTTAGGAAATGAAAATAAGTGTTTATATGTATGTAAAAGAGTTAGAAAAAAATCCTATGCCCTCCTCTATGTTTCGGCCTTGATAGGGTTAATAGGGTTTATTGTGCAAAGTTTTATGTGAAGTAGTGAGAGGGTCTATTGTGTGGGAGTAAGTATGAATTTAGAAAGAAGACCTAAGTGGAAAAATCCTATGTATTTTGATCCCTACACTTTGGCCATGGGGGTTGTAAGGGACTTGGTGTTCCAAAATTGTATTGGGACCTTTGGATACATATATAAATGTTTAAGTTGCTAACTAAGTGAAAAAAGAATAATTAAAAAGAAAAGAACCCTTTTGCCTATTGTCCTTGTGGAGTTCGACCTATAGGGTGGCTTAGGAATATATTTTGTTACATATTATTTTAATAAAATGTGTTGTAAATTATTGTATAAAATTGATGAGTTAAGAAGTAAAATGGCTTGAAAAAAAAGGGTTGAAAAATACCTTGAGTTCCCAAGGATAGGTTCACAGCCTTTTAAAGGAAATGGCATGTATTATGTTGAAAATTCTCAAGTGAACACTTGATTAAATTAAAGAATCCTAACGAGTATAAGGTGGTCTAGACTTGTGTATTGGCATATCATTGGTAAAAACGTAAAGAAAAGAAAAGAAATCGGAGTCTCTTGAAGATATATAAGTGACTTGAGCCACAAGTAAGTAGATTGTTAAAGCTTCAAGAGGTAAGCTCTATGTTTAAGGAGTCTTTTCCTGCTCGAGTGCTCCACCATAGTTAGTGGACTGTGGTTGGAATGTATGACTGTTGATATGATACTTTGTATAGATGCATTCATATAGAGTTATTTGATAACATGATATGACTTGCTCTGATATGATTTCTGTATTGATATATGGTACACTGATGTCTTCTTGGGGCTTCCCTGGGATTGACGATGTACACCTCTGACATGTTTTAGTTCCGCTTGGGGTCCTCCCTTGGGAACACATGCGTTGATTTCCGCTTGGGGTCCTCCCTTGGGAATGACGGCGCACGCCTCTGCTGGTTCCGCTTGGGGTCCTCCCTTGGGAACACGTGCGTTGATTTCCGCTTGGGGTCCTCCCTTGGGAATGACGGTGCACGCCTCCGATATGATATGGATATATGCTCTGTTCTGTTATGATATCTGCTATATATTGTATTTGTATACTCTGTATCTGACTTTCATGCAGGAGTGAGCCAGGGGTATGGAGAATTCTCTATAAACCTGGAGCTTATTGAGATTTGCAATCTCACCCCTCGTTGGGGCCATATTTTCAGGTGCCCAGATTCCCGGTGAGACCTCTCTAGTCAGGGACGCGACCCGTGGCTGAGGATTTTGGACGGATTGGATTTTGAGTAGCTGTAGGCTACTTCTATTTTGGAGTATAGTGCTTTCCTTTAGGAATTCAGTATTTTGTGGATCATGATGTTAGATCCTTTATTTTGTATATGGCCTGTATATGTTTTGTACATGTATGTCAGTTTGATGCATGTACATTTGTGTATTCAGGCACGTTATATGATGATGTAGTATTCAGTTATGTTTATGTATTGGATTGCATGCTGTTAGATTAGCGGCACTGAGCCAAGTTATGCATGCGCGCATGGATGGGTATCTGATTATATTTGCATGACTGGTACTTCTGGATTAATGTGCTGTATAAACTGTTTATCAGGAAATGCTTCTGAGTGGGATTGGAAAATCCCCAGTTGTCCAATTTATAGAGGAAACTCTGTCCAATTTTCGTTTATGTCGAACGAGAATTTAAAAAGAAAAAGAAAAAGTTAGCTCGTATTTTCGTAAGTTAAGTCTTCCGCTGTTTCTGTTTATATCATATGCATGTTAATTGAACTGGCTCGAGACAGAGATGTTACAGAACTCAAAGTGAGGTCTGTAGGAAATTAATGAAGAAATTAGGGTTTGATAGTATGATTGTGGAAGAAGCACAGGGCTTTGCTGGAGGCATATGGATCATGTGGCACAGTTATAAGCTAACTATTACTGGCATATCTCAAACTTCACAGTTTATCCATTGTGAAGTTAATCTTCTAAATGGTAAATCTTTTGTTTTTACGGCTGTGTATGCAAATCCTTCTCAAAATATTCGCAATATTCTTTGGGAGAATCTCCGGTCCCTTAGTGAGTCCATATCTGGCCCATGGATCCTTGGGAGGGATTTTAATGAAATTTCCTACATTCATGAGAAGAAAGGAGGTGTAGTGGCTGATCCTGTCAAGTGTGCACAGTTTGCGTTTGTTCTTGAAGATTGTCATGTTGCTGATTTGGGTTGTGATGGCTCTGTTTTTACCTGGCAGGGTCCCAAATGGGCTAATATGAGCAGAATTTACAAGCGTCTTGATAGAATTGTGGCTAATGTGGATTGGAGAATGATATTTGATGATGCTAGAGTCTCATCTTTGCCCAGAATTCTGTCAGATCATAATCCTATCCTCATTAAGTTATTTGAAGATTCTAGAGATAAAGTCAAGAGGCATTTTCGTTTCTTTGCAGCCTGGCAAGAACACCGGAATTTTAATGAGTTTCTGACCTCTAAATGGGATACTGAATTTGATATCCCATATATGCTTCAGAGATTAATTCCTGAGATTAATAGCTGGAATCATCACGTGTTTGGCAACATTGATAAGAGGAAGAATAGCCTGCTTAAGAGGATTGCTAACATCCAAAGTAGGCGTGAAAGAAACGACTCTTCTCAGTTACAAAGTGCAGAAAACCATTGTCAGGCTAGTGAATGTGCTCCATGATGAGGAAATGTTTTGGTTTCAAAAATCAAGACAAAAGTGGATTACTGATGGTGATAGAAATACCAAATTCTACAATCTCAGTACTGTGGTAAGGAGGAATACAAATAAGATTCTTAGATTGAAGAGTGAGGGGGATGCTTGGGTTACCCATGAGTCTGATCTAAAAGATATGGCCTTTAATTTTTTTAAGGGGCTGTTTACTGAAGATATTCAGGATAGAAGATGGATCACTTCTGCTAATTTATGGCCAAATCTATCAGAGATGGAAAAAGATGGCCTTGATAGATTCCCAAATGAGATTGAAATTAAGACATCATTGTTTAATATTGGTGCTTCTAAAGCACCAGGAACAGATGGGTACTCAGCTTGTTTCTTTCAGAAGAATTGGCAGTTGATCAAAAATCAAGTTTGCTCTATGGTGTACCAGATGTGGACTTATCCGAATCTGCTGGCCTCACTTAATTCTACTCTTCTTGTGCTTATTCCCAAAGTCCAGAAGCCAGTTCATATTAGCCAGTTCAGACCAATCTCTTTATGCCCAGTGGTGTAAAAGATTGTTAGTAAGATTATTGTTAGTCGTCTCAAAATAATCATTGAGAAGGTGGTTTCTCCTGCTCAGACTAGTTTGGTGCCCCATAGACACATACAGGACAATATTATTGTGGTTCAAGAGTTGGTGCATTCTATGAAGAAAATGAGAGGTAAAAAATGTTTTATGGCTGTTAAAGTGGATTTGGAAAAGGCTTATGACCGGCTCAACTGGAAGTTTATTCGTAATGTGCTGATGGAGATTCAAATTCCTAGCCATCTTGCTGATTTAATTATGGTGTCTGTCTCTTCTCCTAAAACTAGCATTCTATGGAATGGGAGCTTGACTGATGAATTCCAGCCGAGTAGAGGGGTTAGACAGGGAGATCCTCTATCCCCCTACTTGTTTGTTCTAGCAATGGAGAAGCTTTCACACATTATTCAAACTGCTGTGGATGGTGAGTTGTGGAAGCCAATCAAGGTAGGTAAGAATGAGCCTAAAATCTCTCATCTATTATTTGCTGATGACTTGATGCTCTTTTTGGAAGCTAGTGAAGATCAAATGCTTATCCTTTTGAGATGCTTAAACTTGTTTGGCGAAATTTCTGGTCAAAAAGTTAGTGAGGAAAAAACTAGTATTTATTTTTCTAAGAACACTCCTAGTGAGACAGCAAATAAGATTTTAGAGGTGAGTGGGTTTAAAAGGGTTTCAAACATAGGAAGATACCTTGGTGCTCTGATTCAACATGGTAGAATCACAAAAAATTCCTTTGCTGGTGTTGTTGATAGAGCTAGGGAGAGACTGTGCAGTTGGCAGTCTAAAACTTTATCTCAAGCAAGTAGGATTGTTCTTTCCCAATCTGTTTTGGCTGCCTTGCCTTACTACCACATGCAATATGGTATGGTTCCGAGAGCTGTTTGTAATGAATTGGAGAAGCTTCAAAGGGATTTTATTTGGGGTGACTCAATTCATAAAAAAAAGATGCATCTTATTGGTTGGGATACTATTTCCTTGCCGAAGAGTCATGGGGGTTTAGGTATTAGAAAGCTCTCAGTCATGAATGAAGCTTTTATTGGTAAGTTGGTTTGGAAATTTATTACGGATAAGGACAAGTTGTGGGTTCAGGTGTTGAGAGAAAAATATGGTATTGGTACTAATATTCCAGAGGATTTCTATTGGAAAAATGGTAATTCTCAACTTTGGAAAGCCATGTGTGAAGTCTGGCATAAGCTGAAACATCGATTGGTTTGGGAGGTGGGGGATGGCTTATCAATTGACTTTTGGGAAGACAAATGGTTGGACCATGAAGACAACTTAATGAATAAATCAATTTCTCTGATTCCTCAGGCAGAAATTGGAAAAAAGGTTAGGGAGTATGTGACGGCTGATGGGTTATGGGATTGTGAAGCTATGACTAATTTCCTTTCAGATAGCACTATTCAATCAATTCTAAGTGTTCTCCCTCCTCAACTGGATAGTGGTTTTGATGGGTGTCGGTGGCATATCAATGGTTCCAATGGTTTATCGGTGAGGCATTTGTATAGTGCTTTACTTAATCAAGATGGTGAGGAGGTTAATGCAAATGGTGACTGGTCGGCTATTTGGAAGCTCAAGATTCCTAGAAGGTTCAGTGTTCTTCTTTGGAAAATTGGCCATAATAGGATGCCAATTCGCAGTTTGCTTGCCAAGTTGGATATGTCCGATCCAAGCTGTCCCCTTTGTTAGCTGGAAGAAGAGACCGTATTGCACATGACTAGGGACTGTATTAAAATGAAAAGGCTGTGGATGGAGTTACTTAACCCTGTTTTGTATGATTTGTTTTTTAATGCAGATTTGGCTTGCTGGATCAACCTGAATTTGAAGAATGCAGACTTGCTGCGCTCTAATGAGCAATGGCCCATTGTTTTTGCTGTCACAGTAGCTTGTGCTTGGAGGTGGAGAAATGAAGTGGTCCATGGTGAAGAAGCTAATTGGTTGGCTTATAAAAGCCAAATGATCTATCAACAGGTTCGTGAAATTTCAAATGCTTGGCTGATGTGTAATAATGGTAGGATCAATAGAAGATCAGTTTTTCTTCCTGTGGGCTGGTATCCTCCGGAGGCTGGCTGGATTAAAATCAACACAGATGGAGCAGCTAGATTTCCTGGGGGTGAAGCGACTTGTGGGGGAATCTTAAGGGATGAGACTGGTACATGGATTAACGGCTTTGCTTATCATATTGGTAAGTGGTCAGCTTTTGTAGCTGAGCTTTGGGGTGTTCTTAAAGGTCTTGAAATGGCTTGGAGAGGTGGCTGGAGGCGCTGCTTATTAGAAAGTGATGCTAGTTCAGTGATCACTTTGCTCACCAAAAATGGAGGAGCAGCTCGAGAGTCCCGGTTGGTGACTCACATTCGAGCATGGTTACAAAGAGATTGGGAGGTTCAGCTAGTGCATGTTTATAGAGAAAGTAATGGATGTGCAGATTGGCTCTCTAAATATCCATTGGATCATCCATCAGAGAGTACTTTTAGTGTTTTTCACTCCCCTCCGAGTGGGATTCTGCCTTTGTATTTGGCTGATTTTTCTTTTGTTTGCAATTATCGTAGGGTATTTATAAACTGATCTGTTTTGCTTCTTGGGGTTTTTAATCCCTTCTTATTTACCTATTATTTCATGTGCGGAGGTTTATAATCTTTGTACAAATTCATGGACCTTTATCCATGATTTGCATCATCCTATTTTTTCATATGCACGGCTTTGGTTTAGTGACAATAATGTTCTTATTAATGGTGTTTATCATTGGTTGATTGACGCTGAAGGTGGTTTTGGTTACATCCTATGCTTTGACTTCTGCAACTATCAATTTAGCAAACTCATGGCTCCAGTGGATATCTCAAATTTGTTGGTCAACGATGACATTGTTGAGGTTAATGGTTCCCTTGGTTATATTGTACAAGATCGTTGGCAAGAACGATTGGAGATTTGGGTTATGAATGAACACAAATGGACAAAAATGCAAAGCATTGTGTGGCCAACGGAGATTTTTATCTTTGGCGTTTTGAAGAATGGAAATCAACTCCTTGGAGTAAAGGACGACGATCAAAAAGATAATCATCCATTGACAATATATAATTTAGATGCTCAGCCAGTGCATCAATTTAAAGTTAAAGTAAATTGTCATTCTCAAGTTTATAAGTATGTGGAAAGCATATTTCCCTTGCCTGCTTAGCTTAGCTAGGATATATACTCTGTTATTGATTTATTAAAATTATTATAATTTAAATACTAAACTCGTAGCCGTGTGTATTTATTTCGGGTGATCTTTGGGATATAAATTTGAGTTTATATTGTGTCTGCCATTTTTTTTTTATACTTTTCTCTGTTTCATTACCATCTTTTAGTGATTTTATCTGATATTTTTATTTGGGTTCGTTTGTGATTATTATGTGAACTCGAGCTGTATAGCTAGTTAATAAGCCAATTATTTATTTTCAGGATTATGATAATGCTGAACAAATGCCTAGATTTTTCGAAACAAAAAATTTCCAAGTTATTGGAACAGAACTTAGGGGAAAACACAACGCTGTTGATATCTTATATTTTAAACATGACTAGCACTTCTAACTTCAAGAGGAGAAAATCAATGACTTTATCAGTTTAGTCTAATTTTGTTTAAGCAAAACCTCCTTAATCACTTTGTCCAAGTTCATGTATGAACAACCACCAGGCCTAGTGTCCTCCTCTGCTTTCTTCTTCAATTCCATGATCTTTTGCCTCATCTTCTTTTCTTTCTCTCCCACCATCGATTCATTTACCATTTTCTCCACCTCCTCTCTCTTCACATTGGTATCAATTTCAATCCCAACATCCCATTCATTGCAAATAAATCTACAATTTGTTGGTTGATCAGCAAAAAAAGGCCAAGACAACATTGGCACTCCTGCACACAAGCTTTCAGTGGTTGAGTTCCATCCACAATGAGTCAAGAATCCACCAATTGAAGGATGGTTCAGCACTTGTTCTTGTTGACACCAACTTGCTATTAGGCCTCTATCTGAAGTTTCATTGACAAACTCAGATGACAAAACCACAGAGCCACCAATGACAAGGTCAGGGCTAATGATCCACAAAAAAAGGTTTCTTGCTATTGGCTAAACCCCAAGCAAACTCAAGAAGTTGCTCTTGAGACATAACTGTTATGCTGCCAAAATTCACATAAACAACAGACCTCGGTTCCTTGGATTCAAGCCATTCATGACATTCACTATCTTCTTTCCAAATATCAAATATTGGAACCTAGAGACGACAAGTCGTTCTGTGGACTTTGATTCAAAAATGAAGGGAAAGGGCCGATGGTGTAAAGAGATGGGAACATAGAGGAGAGAGCATTCATTGCCTCACTCTCAAGTTCATATGAACTATTGAAAACAATAGCAGAGGCTTTATGAACTCTCTCGACCATTTCAATCACAAATTCTAACATCCAATCATT